TACTTGCCATTGTGAATGCTCTAATTAAAAAGTAAAAAGTAAAAAGTAATATGAGATGTGAAAAAGAAGGGTATTGTAGTCCATTTTGGAGAAATTGAAATGTTTTATGGGACGAACAAGATGAGAAAGTTGAATGAGGCATCATTGTTAGCCAAACTTTTTCCAACAGTTTTTCTTGCCAAGACTTTGAGTGAGGCACCATTGTTAAACAGTGTACTATTAATCTCTCCACCAATTTTTTTTTCTGTTGGGTTTTCATGACAAAAAGTTTTAATGTGGGATGTTTTAGTTTGTTGTAATGTTCCTAGGATGAATGCTGCCATTCAATCTTGTAACTATGTGAATCCTAGCACCTCTCACGAGTAAAACATAACTCTTTGAATCATCCTTAATGAAATTGAATCTCTTCCATGGTGAAATCTTTATGCATGATGTCTCTGCTTTCTCATCCTCAATTTGAAATCTTTAGTGCAAATATCACAATTAAAAATGGATGAAGGATATGTAAATAGATTTTCTAACCTAGGCGGCTACTTATTTCAACCCTACCCTACATTGGATTATTACTTAGAAGAAATTGCCGCCTCCGCCTACCGCCATGGCTAGCTAGAACGTGTAGAAATCCAGACACTTGGTATTTCATTTGCGCCGTGACGCAGTAGATCGCAGCTATTGAATTCCATATTATTTATTCATCGATTACTTCTTTGCTTAATTGCTGCCGATGGATTATCTCAAAGGTATGTTGAGTTTTCGTGTTCTCCTTTTATATTATGTATGTACTTTTGTCATTAATTAATTAACCATGACCTTTCCTTACAAGTTGTAAGGTTAAGGACATTATTGTACATAAACATTTCGAGATTTGACTTTTTATGTTTCAAGGGAAGTATTTTTTGGTGTTTGATTTTCTTATTTTACCTTTAGGGGTTTTTTTTTGAAAAAAAGAGATGTTTCACTTCATGAATGAATAGTGATTAATAGTGTGAAAGAGTAAGAGCACTGGCAACGGCGTGCCATTTTAGGTGCCATGCTGCCAGATCAGATCTGCCTTGCACCAACTCAGCAATTGCCTCGCTTTCCTTGTGCATTCTCCCACGGTAAGTGAGGCAGCCTCAAGGCTGCCATGCTCTATTTTTTATTTTCTAAATTATGTTAAAAATTTAAAAAATGACTGTACAGTTTTTAATTGGTTAAATTATGTCACATCAGCGTGTGGCATTCCATTTCTTTACTTGCCATTGTGAATGCTCTAATTAAAAAGTAAAAAGTAAAAAGTAATATGAGATGTGAAAAAGAAGGGTATTGTAGTCCATTTTGGAGAAATTGAAATGTTTTATGGGACGAACAAGATGAGAAAGTTGAATGAGGCATCATTGTTAGCCAAACTTTTTCCAACAGTTTTTCTTGCCAAGACTTTGAGTGAGGCACCATTGTTAAACAGTGTACTATTAATCTCTCCACCAATTTTTTTTTCTGTTGGGTTTTCATGACAAAAAGTTTTAATGTGGGATGTTTTAGTTTGTTGTAATGTTCCTAGGATGAATGCTGCCATTCAATCTTGTAACTATGTGAATCCTAGCACCTCTCACGAGTAAAACATAACTCTTTGAATCATCCTTAATGAAATTGAATCTCTTCCATGGTGAAATCTTTATGCATGATGTCTCTGCTTTCTCATCCTCAATTTGAAATCTTTAGTGCAAATATCACAATTAAAAATGGATGAAGGATATGTAAATAGATTTTCTAACCTAGGCGGCTACTTATTTCAACCCTACCCTACATTGGATTATTACTTAGAAGAAATTGCCGCCTCCGCCTACCGCCATGGCTAGCTAGAACGTGTAGAAATCCAGACACTTGGTATTTCATTTGCGCCGTGACGCAGTAGATCGCAGCTATTGAATTCCATATTATTTATTCATCGATTACTTCTTTGCTTAATTGCT